AGCAGCAAATCAGCATATTAGAATGATTTCTGAAGGATGTGACACTGAATACTGGAGTAATGATGCTGAAAATTCAGCTTTGATCACAGCAATCATTTTAAAATATATTCAAATAGAAAGCAGTTATTTTAAATAGTAAAAATATTTCACAACATTTCTGTCCCCCTCACTTCTGAAATGATGGCTACGCCCCTGGCTTGTACTGTGTGCAGCTGGTCTACAGCTTGGAGCATTAGGAGTACAGGTGGACAGCAAGAGTTTCGTTCACAGCACGGACTAGAAGACCGGTAATATGGCATGCTCCCGGGCACGCACCTCCCTTCATTCCACTGTTCGCGTCCGTCACCTCACTCCCCTACTTCCAAACAGACTCACTTTTCGCACCGTAGCACGCGCTACTCTCCCCTCATCACATCTCCGCAGTAGCGAGATTTCGCGCACTTCCGTCATGCATGAACCAGGTCATCTTAATCCTCTTCATCCCATGTGGGACATAAGGCCGCAACTAACTCTCTCCATCTGGGCCTGTAAAGTCACTCGTTTTTATAAAGTCACACTGTCCAACAGCGACACCCGCAGGTAAAGTTACAGCTGAGGCTTGCCTCCCTTCAGTCCATTGACTTTCTACAGAGACCCTTAGCGTGCCGTGACTTTTCTGGAGGCTCATTGAGATGAATGGAAGAAAATCAGTGAGAGGAGGCAATGCCTCCATCGCGCTATAATTGGATATGATCGGTTAAGGTTGGATGTGATTGGTTCGTGTGATAAATCCCACCTCTTTTTTTCGTGCGAGCGCTCGGTATGAATGAAGAAAATGATGGCGTTATTGACTAATCATAAAGTAAGTAAACAACTCTCCCGCTTAGATACCACTACTTTGTGTCACCTCAAAATAAAACTTGAAATGGTCTGAAAACGTGATGACTGCGTCAGTTTTTAGTGAGCATTCAGCGTGATGAAATGAAAAGATATATCTTCGTCTGTGGCAGGGTTTACAGAGCTTTTATGACGATGACCGCTACTCCCACCTCATCACATCTCCGCAGCAGCGAGATTTCGCGCACTTCCGTCATGCATGAACCAGGTCATAACCCTCTTTAAATAGTGTGTCCCTAATTATCAGTTTGTTCTGATTTGTCAACAACAAAATCAATCACGTGGCGACTGGTTTCCGTTCCGCCACAATATGTTTGTATGTAGGCTAATATGTATAATGGTGCTTTATTTTCTTTAGTTATGCTGATTTGTTAAAAAGTGTTATAGTGTTTTATTATATAGTCTCTCTATTATTGACTAATCATAAAGTAAGTAAACAACTCTCCCGCTTAGATACCACTACTTTGTGTCACGTCAAAATAAAACTTGAAATGGTCTGAAAACGTGATGACTGCGTCAGTTTTTAGTGAGCATTCAGCGTGATGAAATGAAAGAGATATCTTCGTGTCTGTGGCAGTTTACAGAGCTTTTATGACGATGACCAGAAATAAGTTGACTATTAAAAAGAAGAGCTGAACATAAGTTCACAAATAAAAAATATTGGTAACATTTTACAATAAGGTGTCATTTAATGAGTTAACTAGCATGAACAAACAATGAACATTTATTACAGTATTTATTCATCTTTGTTTACATTAATTAATACAAATACAGTTGTTCATTGTTAGTTCATGTTAGTTCACAGTACATAAATTAATGTTAACAAACACAACTTTTGATTTTAATAGTGCATTAATAAATGTTGAAATTGAAATAATAAATAAAGATTAATAAATGCTGTTTAACTAATGAAACCTTATTGTAAACTGTTTCCACAATATTGTTCAAATTGTTACTGCCTTTAGTTATTTTGGAATAAATATAAAAATGTGAAATGTATAATTAGTATTAAAAATATAAAATAAAATAAAATAATATTAATAAAATACAAAATAGAATTATATTTGTTCTATTTTTTATGTAATATTTATATATAAATATATATATTTATATATAAAACTGCCTCCTCTTTTTAAAACACCACCGCACGCCACTGATGAATCCTTTGGTTTCTGTTCTTTTGCAAGCATTAATGTTCATGTCCTCTGAGCGATTATGCGAGTGAACCTGCTAAATGATGCACATACGAGCTTCTTCCTTCCACCATTCATGTTTATTCCACTGCTGCGTCTTATCTTGTGCTCATCTGAAATGCAGCACTTCTGCTCCATGTATTATTCTCTCAATTCGTCTTTACTCTGTACGGAATATAACGCTTTTAGGATTGATGAGCTGTAACTCTCTTTCCCCCCACAGGGATTGACAGATAATTTCATTTTCTCATTGTGTGTGTGTGTGTGTGTGCAGAGACCCTCCTCCCAATCAGAATGGCCCTGCACTCCCCCTCCCGTCTCCCACTCTCCTCTCCCTCCATATGTGCGAGGAAGATGGTTGCAAGCGGCGTGGGCCTGTATTTAATGTTGCACAGCCTGCTGTGATCCCACCGGGAGGAAGAGGAGGAGAAGAATCCCTCCATTCAGGTCAATGAATGTCACTCACTCCTACATTTTTACATGATGCTGCTCTTAAGCCATTCATTTTTAATGAGATTTTTGTCACCCAGATCCTGTGGTGGGAGGAAGAAACCTGGAATCAGCCAGAGCAGAGAGGTGAATCTCCTTTCATCCATCTCTTGACATCGTTCACCAGGTTGAGATCAGGTTTTCAGGTCATTGTCCTGTAGGCATCAGCTCTCTCAGCTGTTCATTATGTCCCTTTTTATAGTTTGAAATGCGTTTTGATGTTTTTGTGTTAAAAATGACCATGGTATTAGCATTTTTCCATGGTAATACCATGTTTTTTTTTAAGGACATGCTTCATTGTAATAGCATGGTATTCTTTAAGGTATAATGTAAATAAATGTGAAGCGCAAAAAAGTACAGATGATGTTAGCCTAAAGTACCATATAAAACAGTAACACCTCATAATAAGGTTGCATTTGTTAGCATTAGTTAATTAGTTAACATCAACTAACAATTCTAAAGAATTTAAAAATGTTAACATCTAATATACTATTAAGATCAAAATTGTATCTGTTAATATTATTTAATAGGCCTGAGATGACAAAGTAAGAGTTGTATTTTTACTAACTAATAATAGTTTTATTTTAATGGTTTTTATTAATAGTTCAAATTAGTTAATATAATTTTTTTATTTTCTGATTTCATTTTAGTTTTTGTAATTTTGTGTTTTTGTCATTTTTATGATGTCATTTATTTTTTTGTCATTTATATTATATTTTGTTATATAATTGGTCATTTTTGTACATTTTTTTAATATACATATGTAGTTTATATTAGTTATTATTTTTGTTTTAAATTTACATTTTAAATTATTATAGTATATAGTTCAAAATATCAAAATAAGAAATGTTGCCTTGGCAACTAGCTGAAATAAAACAAGTGGTATGTTTTTTTTATATTTTATTTAAAGTAACAATTTTTTTTAATGAATTTAGTTTACTATTGTCACAAAGCAAGGCCAGACACAACAGGTAAGTGCAAATCAGGATGGTTTATTGACTGGGTAAGGGGATGACTGGAATAGGTGTGTAAAGGCAGGTGAGTGTCAACACAGTGAATGGTCCAGGGTGCTTATCTGAGTTCTGATGGTGAGGATCGGATGCCAGTTACGTTGGAGATCGTGGAACAGTTTCCAAGGAGTCGTTGGAGGATCACGGGAGGAACAGCAGGTAATTCGTTCTAGGAGAATTTGGCAGAGAGAGTCCAGAGCAGTTCGTAGGAGTGAACGGTAGACCGGACAGTGAGTGACTGCGCTGTGTGTGTATTTGTAGTGTGGCTTGATTGGTGACAGCAGGTGCGGGTGATCAGAACTCAGGTGACTGTGATCGGGTAATTATTCTGGATGGTGACTGAAGTGACTGTGATGAATCCCTGACAACTAACAGCAATTGCAACATGCTTTTGATTGCCACAGTCATATCTGACAAATCTCACATATCTCTCAGTTTTAAAATGGAAGTGATGCATTATGGAAGGTTTAAAAACACAAATGTTGTAAAGTTGTGCAAACCATTCTTTATAAAACCTATCCTGAAGAAAATGTGACTGTTGTCTACAACATGCAAAGACACAGTTTTTTTTTTATTGCTACCTAAAACTAAAACTATTAAAAACATTTATATTAATTGAAATAAATCTGAAATATACATTTTGGATTAATATAAAATAGCTATAAAGCTATATGATTAGCAATAATTATTAATTAAAAATCATAATATTTTATATATTATTATTATATTATCTATAATATTTTAAAGATAATACTGACAGACAGACACACCCTCAGACAATTCTCAGAGTCCTAACGTGACATAAAAGGCATAAAGTGAAATTAAAAGTGTTATATTTGTGCTCCAGAAACCAATAAAGAACACCTAATTATAGCCATATTACCAGAGAGCTACAGCAACAACTTCCTTGGAGTAAATTAAATTAAAGATTACTGATAACTAAACTGTGTGTGTCTGTGTGTGTGTGTGTGTGTGTGTGTGTGTGTGTGTGTGTGTGTGTGTGTGTCTATACAAATGTT